AAAAAAAAAAAAAAAAAAAAGATCTGGAATTGGTGGAATTACTAGTCCAAGCCCCAATTTTCAGGCAGAGCATTGGAATGACCTTGTGTCCGAAGGAAAATGTGACTTCTGTAGTTTCATCATTGTGCTTTATTTTCTAAATGCATCATTAGTCCTCCCTTCTGTTTATGGTGTTAGAATGTAGCTATCACACAGCTAGTTGTCCCCAAAATGTTGAATTTATCCAACTTTCATGTAAAGCTGTTGTTTTCCACAATGTTTCTAACAACAGTTTGGTAGTTTCTTAAATCATCTTTGCAAACATTGTGGTGCTTTGCAAACATTGTGGTGTTGATAGTGAAATAGTCGTTGGAAATTAAATTTATGTGGCCTGATTTGATATTTATATACATTTAAACACTGATAAGCAGGCATGTATAATGTAAAGTCAGATATATACATATGAAGATATACTTTTGATTCTACAAATGATTTTGCAGTGGCATCTGGCTACTTTTATGATAATGTTTATAATCTCATAGCATAAGGTTGACGAGACAATTCACATAATTTTTAGGGGTGCAATATTTCAAGAAGATTGCAAAGTTGTTTCAGAATCGCCTCCTCAAATTAATATCAAGCTCAGGTCACATATCTTACGATAACTCAAAACTTCTATTATCTTCATGCTTTCTTTTGCTGAGTATTCCATGCATCGGATAATAGGCCATACTCAAAGGATACAGGTTATGAGGATTCCGATGTTGCTGCTCTTCTTTCAGTAAGGTGTGTGGGTCATTGTTACTTTGTTTGTCATCGTTTGTTAAATTGTCTTGATGTAAACTCTCTTCTGAGTGTATTATCTTGCCTCATCAGATTTTTACATGGTTATCCATACAAATCACCAAAGTTGCAGATAGTGCCAGAGAAAGGCTTGTCAAAATCTGATGCTGATAACCTTCTATCTTTGCTTCACGATCAGGTATTGTGTGATTGTTAGTTCATTTCCTTTTAGAGGGAAATGTTTTAACCACACCAAGGTGTTTCGTTACCATATGGCTGTTTATTACAGAAGTTTTTTATGGCATGTACTTTACTTTAGATGAAGGCTAGTCATTCAGCAATTTTTAAGAGAACAAATTCTCTCATCCTGAATATGGGATCATTCAGGTGTTTAAATTGTGTGTTCACATTTTGCTTCAGTTTGAGTGGGACCAAAATGAGCAATGAACTTGAAAGTTGTTACTATGCAATACAAGAAGTCAGCCTTCATTGCAGTTCCCGATGTATTAAGATTTATACAATGATGTTTTCTCTCGTGAGGGATGATTCTCGATGTGATGTCAAATGATTGTTGTCTTGAACTGATTGTTAATCTATATGCAGAAGTTTCTTAGAATAGCATCTTGGTTTGGACTTTAGAAGATTATGTTATCTGATGTCTGCAATGATTTGGGTGATCCCTTGCTCTCATGTTTGAGCGTTTGCTTGTCATTTAGGCCCGTGAGGGTGATTTCTGCTGATTACAATGCAATGTCAGGAATATCAGCTTCCTGAGTGGAAGGTGAACTAAGTTTTTCTATGAGTTCTTGCAATACTCTCTTCCCAAAGATTTCCCTTTAATTTTAGATTTTTCTTCTTAAATCTCTCCATCTTTCTTGTGGCTTCTAGGAAACATTCTATTCCTATGAATTTTTTGTGCTCGACCCTTTTACTGTTGTGGATTGTAATTTCCACTCACTCAAAGTATACATATAGGCAATCTTCTTGCCTATTTACTTGTTTTTAATTTAACTGTGTTTAATCATGTCTTCTGAGGACCTGAATCTCCGAAAGTTTCTTCTTCGTGAACTACATGTTTGGAGTTCCATAGAGATGCTTCGACCATCCTCCTCATCTAGCAATAGATTTTCCCTTCTCTTTGCTCCCTTACGGTCATCTACTCTCTCCAAGGCAGAGGAACATCCACCATGAATGATTGTAGATGGTGGCTGAGGAGTGGTACCGAGGATGCCTCAGATCTAGCTTCCTTTTTGTATGTGGTGCTCCTTTTGAGGCAGTCATTAGCTGGGTTGACATCAGAACATCCAATTCCATTTCATCCTGTACCAGGGATAATGTTGTTCCTCCAATCTTATCTTCTTATGGTTGCGTCTAGTATTAGGAAAGCTAACAGAGCTTGCATCTCATTGTTCACCTGTGTCATTTGCATCCCCAGCCCCTCCATTGCTCTATTTTTTCCCGAACTAGTCCTGATGGGTTTTGTCTGATGATGTCTTGGCCTTCGATGCAGTAATCATCATTATTCATGTTGTCTTTACACTAAACTTTTCAGCGAGACCGTCAATTTGGTGCCTCGTGTCAATTGCGTGGACCTACAACTTCACCAAAACCTTGAAGACAAGACACCATGTGACCTCTTGGCCACCAAAAAATGGAGGAATGGGTGACAGAAGACACTGTAGTACCATATGAATATAGTTAAAGTTTTAATAGAAGTTTGAATATTGCTACTTTTTGCATGGTGAAGGACTTGTATTTATACTTGATTGGAGTTATTGGGTTAGGTAAAGAACCATGCTTCTGCAATTGTAGGATTACCATTCATGGAGTTGGTAGCCTACCGCCTTTCGCTACTTCTGGAAGTGCCATATGTAGGTAACGTGCTAGACTGCTAGGTAGTTTTGTGTCTAATTGGTAATCTTCTTTAGATTATAAATAGTTGGATGCTGAGTTATAGCTTTGTTTTTGGAGCTCTTTGGGCTGCTTTGGGGACGAGTCAAGATGAATTTCCCTGCAGAAGCTGGTGCTCTGTGCTTTCTGATTGGCCCTTATGCTTAATTGCACCTAGATCTGGGTTGTATTACTGGTGTACCTTGCAGGTGTGGGAAGTTTTAAATTTGTTTCGAATTGATTATGAAAAAACCCTGCTGAGGCCTGCCTCACTGTGAGGCGCAGCTTCTGCGCCTCGAGGCTCAATCTGTGAGGCAAAAAAAATGAGGCGTGCGCCTCATTTGAAGTAGGTTTTTGAAAAGGAATTAAAAAAGACCCTCTTTAAAAAAGAGAAGGGCCCATTTAAAAAGATATTTTGGGCCAAACAAAATATTAAAATATCTAGAATACCAAAAGGCAGCCAGAAATTCTTCTACACGGCGGCAGACAGAAATCTTCCTAGATGGCGAGAACTACACGCCAGTCAGAAATCTTCCCAGAACTAAACGACAACCAGAAAACTTATCTTCAATCCTTCGCTTAAAAGAGGTCCTCAAGTATTGCTTCTATGTCTCTTTTCTCCTTTGCTTCTGCCTTCTTCTAGTGACTTACAATTTGAAATTGTTTCACTAGACTTTACTTGACTTTTTTCTTGTTCAGTGCATCGTCACCAGATTGCACCTATTTTGTTCGGCAGAATGCACCTGTTTTGTTTGTGGTGAGGCTTACGCTTCAAAACGTTTTGAGGCTTACGTCTCACTTCATGACAAAAAAAATGTCTCAGTACCCGTTTACGTTTTTTCAAACTATACCTCCTAGGTTAGTATGCGAGTCTGATTGGTTTATCAACCACTTTCTAGTCTGTTTTTAGATGGATTCTTTAGCCAAATTTATATATTAATAGTCACAGATATACACATATTTTTATTGTCTTGTTTTCTTTTCTCATAAATCGCTATTTTAGAATTATTGCAGGCTAGTTTGAATGCTCGAGAAGGACGGGTGATGATTTACAATTTAGTAGAGGCTGCTCAGGAATTCTTGTCTGAAGTAGTTCCACAGGGACAGTCACAGGAATCTGTAAGTGTTGCTGCTCATTTTATTGTTGAAACAACTCTGTGTTTGTCTTGCTTATATTATTTGTCGTCCAACTTAGGAGTTGGAAATTGGAAGAATTAGAATGTAGCCAGAAATAAAATGGATCTAGTTGTACTTTGCGTGAAACTCTGAGCATTAGTTTCAAACACCCATCAATCCTCCACAACCCCAAGCATCAGTGTTCTGGAAAGAACAGTGGAGTTCAGTCTTTCTATTTTTCCTCTTCCTACATCAAACACACCACGAGTAACAGAAGAGGAAGTCAATGATAATTTTTCCAAAATGAATGTAGATCATTAGAGGTATGAATAGTCATAGTTATCTGACTTGTTAGTAGAATATGTATAACTACAAAATAAAAATAAGTCATCTTGACAATTGAATATGGGCCTTTTAGATTATGCACATGATTAAACAGCTGGGACAATTGAACTCTGGGTCTCAGAACAACAATTTTATAGAACTGCAGACTGTGTGATCAAATGTCATGTGCTGAAGTACTTTTATGAGCACGAACAATGTTGAAGGAGCTTCAATATTCTGTAATTGCTTTAATTTCAAAGACAAATGAGGCAGTGAATGTCAGTCTATAGAGCCAATTATTGGCTGGGATGTGATTATGAAGTGAGAGATAAATGCAAGTGAATACTAGTAGACATTGTTTTCGAAATGCTTATTTTTTCTAGCTCATACTTTTTTTTTTTTGAGATTTTGAGCAAAGATGGTTTTTGTGGAAGTCTTTGTATATTGTGGTGAACGACTGCAATCCTTGGTGCATAGTTAATGACATGATTTTACTTATCATGAAAAGTGAGGATCTTCATTTAGTGATGATTGCAAACTTGAAAATTGTACCCACGAGTTTTTTACCCAGTCATCAATGTTTGACGTATTAAAAGATGGTACGATAAATTTATAATTACTAAATAGTCTTCTTTTTAGACAATTACTATTGAGAATACAGATTTACTTCACTTATAATTTTGTTTGTTATACTTGGTTTAATGCTTTGTGTTGTTATTTTCTGATTTAAATTGATAATACACTTCCTGTATATTATGCATTGATTAATAAAATATTTGATTACCTTTCAAAAAAAATAAAAATAATTTTGTTTGTAATAAATTACTGGTGACATTACAAAATTTACTTAAAGTTGACTTTTGGAAGGTTTTTGTTTTTGCTTTCTGCTTTCCCATCTACAGGTGCAGCATTTACTTTTATGATATAATTTAGTTATTTTATATTTTGTTCTTATGGATGTTTGAGAAGATTTCAATTTGTTTTCTACGTTGCTTGGACTATAGTCTACAAATATATGTCCTTTGAGTTGAGGATTTTCTGGGTTTAACGTGTGACTAGAAGTGAAGACCAGCTGATTATATATAAGATTGTTTCCTTTTGTAGGTCCGGTGCCAGGAAACAGATAACAAAGGGCAGCTCTCTCAAAAGAATGCTACAATCTCACCTAGCAAGATCAACTCTTTTAGAGGACCTTTCATTTATAGTCATGTAGATCTTTTCAGTGGTTCTGGAGAATCATGGAATTGGAACCTGGGAATGGAAGACAGTACTCAAATAGTACATCTGCATACATCAGAAGGTTCCAAACAGGGAAATGATAATGTAGATAAGGTGGACCAGAATGTGAAACCGGCAATGGTCGAGAATTTAAAGACTGAATCTCTACATAAACCTTCGTCAAGACTAGATCCTCTTGAAGAAGAAAGTGAGGATGAGACACGAAGTACCAATTCGAGTAGAAAGATTTCTGATGAATCAGATGGAAATGACGCTCTTGGCGATTTCAAGGTAACTTTGGAATATTTCTCCTTTCGATCGATACTTGATATGCACAGCAAATTCATTAACAAAAGAATATTAGTTCCTGACCATCTGTACAAACTTCTTGCAGATATGCATCTTTCTACATTTTGTAAGGTAGTATGATTTAGATATTGATTTTAGGACTGAACACATATGTCATGTAGTGTCCAGTATTGTTTTGTGGTGTAAGACATGGGTAAGGCATGGTAAATGAAGTGTCAGATTAACATAGTGTTTGAGTTGGGATGCTTTTCATGCATTTGACTGGAGGCTTGTCTTCTCCAGAATACATGACAATTTTATGCTTTTTACAGGATATTTTTGTGGAAGGAAATCAAATAGAAACCGATTATGAAGATATGTATGGTGAATCTTCAGAATCATTATCCTTCGAGTCTGTGGTTCATGACCAACCATCTCAGACTGTGGCAAGAGATTTGATCCTGGTGATTTTCTAATCTAAACTCACTAATTTTGATTTTTGTAAAAATAAATTTTGAAATGCTAAGTTTTACTTCATTTAGGCTCACTTGCTTCGCGTTGCTTGTGCTCCTAAAGGACCATTTGCTGATGCTTTGCCAGAAATAACATCCGAGCTCCTGAACTTAGGAGTATGTAATTCTTGCGTTTCATTTGACTTGTTTTAGTTCGGCTTATATCTTGACCAGATATAACATTCTGGCTGCTAAATTCTTATTTTTCAGATTGTTTCAGAAGCTGTACGAGATTTGGCCATAAAACCATCTGCAGTCTTTGACAAGACTCTCAATCGTATTTTTGGGAAGCATATTGTAAGTCAAATGTGATTTTGCCTATGCAATGTTTAGCCTACCAAGCATGCTGGATGTCCTTTAACTAAAAATCCATCTCTTTTCTAATCTTGTTCAATAGGTTTCATCTAAGATCTCTAAGTTTTGGACAATGGCTTCTGATTTTGGAGAACATAGTTCTTCTTCTATCCCAAGTTCCCGTTATTTAAATGATTTTGAGGAGCTTCAATCCCTTGGTGAGATTACATTTTGTTTGTCTTTTGTGTTTCATTTGCACATCTGGCTAAATGGTACTTCTGTTATTTTCAAGAGAAATTCAGACATATACTGGTGTATTGACATTTTCTGCCATTTTCACCGGACAGAGTTTGCCTTTTTTTGTTTAGGCATATGAATTCTGAAATGGTTTACACATGTTGTAGAATGTGGCGAAATGTGTAATGTAGGACATAATGGAGAGCAACTCTTACTTGTTGCAATCCCATTAATCCATAAAAAATTTTAACAAGATCAAAATTCTGTTTTTACTGATATCCTTAACATTTTGACTTGCGGATTGTTCACTTAAAATTTCTAGAAATTTTGTGCAGTAAACGAAAATATAAAACATTGACATGACATTCAGTAGTATCTTTTAAAGAAGTATTAAACTGAAACCACCTTACTGCACAAATAGCACCTAAATTTTGGTGGTCTGTCCTCTGGTTACTGTACTCATATATTTATTATTTGGAAAACATCTGTTTCATTACATAATAAAATGCAGATGCTAATTAGTGAGATAATTTTTACTGCTGTTTTGACCATTGAAAGGATATATCTCTAGAGATGTGAAATCCTGGAAGCATTCCTTTAATCAACCGCGACATGCCAATCTTAGGACAAAGCTACTCTATCCATTTTGAATGTATGGGGCCTTCCATCAATCTTTAATACTTAGAAACCCTTGGCTTCCTATGAACTGGTTCCATAGTTAAATTACATTCCATCAGATTTCATTGGAATCTTATTTGTCATCTACCTTCTGCATGTGTGCATGGATGTGCTGTCCATATTTTCTTTTACATGTGCATAAGATGGCTTATTGATGCACTTTCTAGGGTGTTTTGTGATGTCATATTCTGTTCTCATGAAGGCTTTCACTAGATTCTTATATGCTTTTTGTTCTTTTTGATCTTTGATTCCGTTTCGCACCAATACATAAATTTATGAGCATATGATATGAATCTTTTCTGGTAACAGGTCATGGAGGATTTGGTCATGTTGTTCTCTGCAAGAACAAGCTTGATGGTAGGCAGTATGCTGTGAAGAAGATTCGGTTGAAAGACAAGAGCCTCCCTGTAAATGACCGAATCTTGAGGTCTGTATTTAACGACAATCTATGATCTCTGTAGTTATTATCTGCTTTTCGTTGGTTGCTATTAGGATTATTACACTATACTTGGACAGAAGATGGTTAAACTAGGTTAAAGACAAGTTTTTAGTAATTGTTGTTCTGCCATGTTACTTTGAACATACGGGTTTTTAACAGGTTGGATGTGGATATATTGCGAGATTAGAGGTAATTTGGTTTCCTAGCAGAAGTTCATTTTAGTATTAGTTGCTGTTAATTCCCCCTACCCTCTCTCCCAGGGTATCGGTCAGTTTTCTTCTCATGTTTTTTTAATGGTTTTCTGTGTCTGTTTTTTTTTTTTTTTTT